CATACGCATGGACAACTTCCCCACAATTCTTCACAATTGTCTCCAACAGCTAGAAAATTGTATAAAAACCAATTATATTACTCAATTAATTGTGGTTTTGAGAGGCTAAGGTGGACTTCCATAGAGTTGGAGAAAATATATCAAATAAGAAACTTTTAAAAAATGTTAATATCAATAAAGATTTTGTCTTCTCATGCGAGCCACTAAAGCATTCAGAACAAGTTATTCCTGGTCGGCTTGAGGCCATCTACTGAATTTAAACGAACATTATTCACAACCTGACAAGTCCCAAACAATGGTAACTTGGATAGCCATCATGATAGAAACACAATCAACAAGGGTATTGGACATAAAGATTTAGTGCAACCTATTAAAGTTAAATTGACGATCTAAAACCAGCACACAAATATGAGCTCTAAATCCGGGAATTGACAGTACAATTTTCATCAATTTCTTAGATATTCTTGCAAATATTAAAAATTGGCTTGCATAAATATAATTATATGCCCCTTACTTAGGCAACTGATTGCAGTATTTTTATAGGTTTGGTCTCCTTCAATTGAAAACGTATGTAATTTGCTATTATTCTCAGCAGCTCATTGAGAACATCAATTTCGGTGAACCATTTAAATAGTAAACAAAAACTCTAAGTCAACCAACATGATGTCATCCATCTCTCCTATTATGGTGGCTTGTTTGTACTTCACATTAGCAACTGTTACACTTTTACTTAGCAACTAGTACTTCATTTTATACCGGCATATAAGAAATGTACTGGTTTTGAAATGCAGCAGAAGCCATTTTCTCGGCTCCTGCACTAGTATATAATCCCCATGACAATCATGAAGAATAAGACTAGAGAACTCTTCTATCAAGTAATATTTATTTCCGTCTTCCCTCCAGCAAGTTCCTTCACACTGTATTCTTTAAAATTCAATCCTTTTATGAAAGTAATCCTTACAATCTTTGATAAACTGCACCCAATTTTTTTGAATTACCAAATGTGCATGAATAACTACAAGCTAGTACATTCGAAAACCAAACATAGCAAAATCTCCACAACATTAAATTTCCTCCCTTAACCAGAGGTTGAAAGAACCACCTCGCCGGACAATACAGTAACTCAAGGACTATCTTGAGAAGACAGGGAATTCATGTGCCAAAGAACTAGTTTTGCTTTCCCAGTGCAGACAAGCAATTCTATGAAATTAAACAGGAAAATATTTAACAGTGACAACTCTTACTAATAAACTTAGTAGTATTCTATACATTCTGTTACTTTTTAATAAGCTTTTTCTCCTAAAAATAATGAAGCACCAAAAAAGAATTCAAAATTTGTCATGCTAAATCTTTCACATGAAATCACAATGTAGAGCATATGCTTGATCAGGGAAAAAAAAGGAACAAAAGGCCTGTACACATGTAATAAAAGGAAGGTAATAAAGACTCAGGAAGACGGAAAAAATCATTCTTACTGTTAAGGAAAGAAGTTGGACTTTAGGATTTTTGCTGCCAAGACGCCTCTTTATGCCTTTTACTATGTCTTTTGCTTGTCTGATAAAAAAACAAAGTGAAAGTAACATCAATCAGTGAATACATATAAAAAAGCTACTAGTGAAAATGCGTCCAAGTGCAAGCATCCATATGAGAGAAGCAAGTATACTGACTGTTTCTAAAAATGCCTGAGGCTATGCACAAAGCTTACGTGCTAAATGTGCCATTTCTCAAGGATTACTCCTTGAATTACAGAGGCACACACCTCGCAAATAACTAAGGCGAGAGCTCTTAACTCTTGCCCGCTCTCGGCATTTAGAACTGGACAGCTTTTCAGGTTGGTTCTCTTGTAACTTTTAGTATGTTTGAAAGGTTTTTGGGTTTCACCCAACCCTAAAAACTAGAAAGAAACAATTGAAAATTCGGAAAAGAACAAGTGAAAAGCAAGGTATATGTTGCCTCTTACAACTTAAGTGCAACTTCCCCTGATCACGCAACAAATGCAGTCGCATCTTTTTGAGAATAAATCGCTGATGGCAGGAGACATGTTAAACATAACTTCATATTCATTTTGTATTCTATTTTTGTTGTTGCTGTCGTCGTCTTTTACATTCTAATTTTCTTTAACCTGAATCTCTTTTCATTTGAAGTCAAAGTATGCTAAATTCAAGTTTGTAGGTTGTTTCATTTGTTATAGACTTCTACTTCTAGTCAGTGAACTCAACACCAAGCGAGTGACCTTAACTGTGAAGGAGTGTGCAATTGGTGAATATCTCCACGTTAACTAACCAAGTTGCACTGAGAGAAATAAACTTGACCCCTGTCATATCATTTTTAACCTGATAAATCCCACACTACAACCATGGATGGTAACCAGTTCTAACATATCAGGATGCTGAAAACAGTTCTGATCTAATCACACATTTGTCTTCAAAACCCAAACTCTCCTCTTTGCCTTACACCCACCCTATTGTTGCAAAGTTGACAGCACCGCAGCAAAGGGTTCTTCTAGTTTCCTAATAGCTATTGAGGACAATTGGGATTATTAAATTGCTGACTAGGCAACCTAAAAAGACACCTTTTTCCATTTCCAATATAGTTCTTTAGTTAAATTCATGATATAACATTTTTAAATTATTTCTTCTTTTATCTCGAGAAAGCAACCTATCCATCACTCCACAATTTCGAAATCATGCAAAAAGAACACAATGAATTTCAAGCGCATAGTCAACATCTATTTGCTTTTCACCCTTTTCAGCAAATTCGTCTGAATAGATAACAAATTAGTGAATAATATCGAGAGACTAGAAGAAAATTATTAATTACACGGGATCGCGATTGCAAATGTCACAGATCTCGACGTTCATAGCCCAATCGGGACCGATCAGCATGTCGCTCGTCGCTCTATCCACCTTCGAATTCCCCATCTTTACTCCCCCTCAAAATAACAACAGCAGCCGGAAATCAGTCGGAAATCTCAATCGGCGTCAGAATCTCACCGGCGGTGCAAACTGATTAACAAAATTCAGGTAATTTGCTACAGGGTTTAAAGAAAAACCGGGAATTGACTCCAAGGATTATAGTAGATGATGAGTTCTTGGAACTCCTGTAAAGATTTTTAGGAGGAAAATTTGGAATGTATTTAGGTAAAATAATCGCCAATATGACGGTACCGCGTGGAGCTATATTTTGTCACGAGATGTGCTTCGAATCGCCGACTTTTTGACGTTTTGCTTAGTGGTTTCGGTGGGCCACATATCATTGTAGGTCCCACAGTCCACGCAACTTGTTGACTTTAATTATTTGATTTTCGAATTATTAATAAATGGAAAAATTGCACTCTCGGTCCCCAACCTATCATCGACCCATAGCTCAGGTATTGATTCCAGGACCAACCTCTAAGCGGGGTAACTTTGAGAATGGCTAGAGAATTCTTCCTATTTTTTACAATAGCATTTCCTATTAAAAGTACTTCTTTACCCTTAATGAAATTATTTGCAAGATCTATCTTATATCTTTAAAGATCTATCAATCAGGCCCTATATCTATATTTTTCAATCTTTTGAACA